CAGTGAGTAATTACATGACAGCACTTGAAGAGTGCCTGGCGCGAAGACAACATTCAGTCCTGTCAGCTGGCAGCCTGCCCGCTGTGGCAGTGGCAGAAACAGTGTGATCCAATAGGTGTAGCCGGCCCTCGGAAGGCAGCCCTATGTCCATGTTCCCAGCGGCAGGTAAACAAAGTCATAGTTGTCTTCCTGGCCACGTCACAGCCCCTCCCTGTCCCAACGCTGTCCCAGGGACAGAGAAAGAACCCATTCAGGCCTGGATGGGACCGGACAGCGGCCTCTCGTGTCCCTCTTCTCTTTGCGGTGCTTGTTGCTCCTCTGGAACCTGGGTTCATACCTGGCAGAGAGGTTCACGGGCATAACATGTTTAGTTTGTACTCTGAATCCTGTTTACGGTTTGTTTTTGTTCCTGATTTTTTTTTTTTTAGACTGACCTTTTGCGGAAGGGTACAGAATCCAAACAGGGAAGTGACCCAGCAGAAAGCGAGCGAGTTCCTTAAGCCTCGTGCATTTCAATCCAAGGTTGTTCCCAACTTGTACTTTTAAGCACATATTTCCAGGGCGTACACTGGCCACATCTGATCCTTGGGTTCATCTTCCTCTCTGGCCCTTTTACTTCTTGTCAGTGTCTGTCGAGCAACTTGGGCTTAATGCAGAGATTTTGTCTTCATCCCAAGCATATTCATGATTCATAACAAGCCAGGTGTTTGCTGAAAATGTATTGATGAGGAAGTTAGAATTGGTGCTTTTTCCATCTCCCGGAGCGACTTTAAAAGGGAGGCTATACCTAGTGGGATGCATAAAGGTTGTCTTGTGTCAGGTGGCAGTTAGTGAAATATAGTAGGGAGCTGAGAGGGACTTGCTGAGGTCATCTCTACCCTCCCACCCATCTCCCCATCTGAATGTCTCTAGTGCTGTGCAAGCTAGTGCAGTAGCCACAGCCACACATGGCTTCTGTGCCTTCCGGCTGTGGCTAGTCTCCACTGAGTTGTGCTGTTGGTGTAAAATACACCCTAGATTTCAAAGACTTCATACAAAGCAAAGAATAGAAAATGTTTCATCCATAATTTAAGATTAATTACAACTTGGAATAATAATATTTTGACATATTGGGTTAAATAACATTTATCATGAAAAATAATTTCATCTCCTTTTTAAACATTGAATACTAGAAAATTTTAAATTTTTTATGTGAAGTTCCATAGTCTGTATTATATGTCTATCCGCTTCCGTGGACCAGACTGTAGAGCCTTTCTTGGAGACTCCTCTGGGTCTTTTGTCATTCTGGCACTTGGTTCTTCTCCACATCCCCTCTTAATCTCTCCTGCCTCAATTTGAAGACTTCCACTTCCAAATGACTGTTCATCTCCTTAGAGATCCTACTGGAGAGGAGTCAAGCATCTTTTCATATTGTTCAAGTGTAAGCTCAATAACTCCATTTTCTTTAACCTTTTACTTTATCCACCTTTTTCAATTCTGATGAGGTTTTGTGACCTTTGCTAGGTCGTCTTTGGTAAATTATTTTTAAAACTTGGTATCCATCTCTAGCTGGATTGGCTCAGTGGATAGAGTGTTAGGCTGCGGACTGAAGATCCTGGGTTCGATTTCAGTCAAGGGCACATGCCCAGATTGCAGGCTTGATTCCCAGTAGGGGGCGTGCTGGAGGCAGCCAACCAATGATTCTCTCTCATCATTGATGTTTCTCTCCCTCCCTCTTCCTCCCTGAAATCAATAAAAATATATTTAAAAATAAAAACAAAACTTGGTATCCAAAACCTCCCAATATCACTCTACTATGGGTCTGACTAGTATAGAGACAAGTAAAAGGAATTATTTCCACCATCAAATACTTGAATGGTTATTTTGATACATTACCTCATTTAATCCTACAACACAAGGAGAGCAGATGCTGTTGGTAACCACTCTTGACTGATGAGAGAGTTGAGGCTCAGAGACGTTTAGTAATTAATTGACCAAGACTCCACTGCAAATTAAGTGGCAGATCTGGGATTCGTGCCCAGGTTTGCCTGACTCCAAAACCCACACTTTTTCATTGCATACCTTGCCGATACTTTTCTCAGAATACACCCCTGTGGTCCTGAGAAGCCTTCAGAGTATGTGGCTGATGCATTTGCAACTTTTGGTCGATGATGCCTCTGGAGCTTATTCTGTATGTTTCTGCCTTGCTAGAATTGTGAAGCCCTTATGCTCAATTCCAGAAACCCCTTATCGACCCTGCAGGTACTGTGTGAAAATCAGTGGGACTGCCTGTCCTTGTAGGGTCATCGAGTTGAGTTTTTCAAGTATCGAGAATGACTTTTCTAGAAGAGAGCTTTCTCTCCTGAGGCCCCAGGTCATGTGGATAGCCCTCAGTCCCCAGAACAAGCTACTTCTCAAAGGCCAATCAAGGCGAAGTACATTGTTTACCCATTTTTACCTAAAGGCAGCAGGTTTGTTTTGATCAGAAGAGATCCCTTTGAGTGTGTTAGAAACAGATCTTCATATGGATGAACCTTGAAGACATTATGCAAAGTAAAATATTAGGTGTACCTGTTAATAATGGCTGATTTTGTAATCAAAGGAAACAATAATTTGAAGAGAAACATCAAAAATGCTTTATTCAAAGTAATGTCTATTGCTAGCTACACATTTCCCCCATCTTTCAGGTAATTTGTGGATACCGTCCCAATAGAACTTTTATTGTTTTGAGGCAAACCATTCAGAGACCCAATTTTCCACTGCTTCGTACATTTTGAAGTGCTCCTCAGAAAGTGCATGTGCCATCAATCAGAACAAGTGGTAATCTGAAGGAGCAAGATCTAGTGAATACAGTGATGGGTTAATACTTCCCAGGCAAGATCTTTTCATGTGTGTTTAACTGGTTTTGAAGTGTGTGATGGTGCGTTATCATGAAGCAAAATTACTTTTCTATGTGTTCTGGCACATTCTGGTCATTTCATGATCAAAGCATGGTTCAAATTGATTATTTGTTGTCCGTAGTGATCAGTATTAACAGTTTCACCTGGTTTTAGAAGTTCATAATACACCACACCTTCCTGATCTCACCAAACTCAGAGCATTGTCTTCTTCCCGAAGTGATTTGGCCTTGCAGTTGATGTTGATGGTTGACCTGGATCAACCCATGATTTTGTGCATTTTGGATTGTCATGATCAGTCACAATTCGATGCAAAAAAAGACTTCCTTTCGTGCCATTGAAACAACATTTTACTGATGACTTCTCAGCTTTCCATTTGTATTTCATTCAGTTGATGTGGCACCCATTTTCCTTCTTTTAAAATCTTTCCCATTGCTTATAAACAATTGGAAATTGTTTACTGAGCAACGTTTAATCTTTCTGCAAGTTGTTTTTGAGTTTGACATGCATCTTCATCCAATAATGCTTGTAATTGTTGGACTTCAAACTTTTTCGGTTGACCTGGATGTTCTTGTCTTTCACATCAAAATCATCACTTTAAAGTGTTTAAGCCAGTATTCACAAGTATCTTGAGATGAAGCATGTTCACCATAAGCTTCCCAAAGGATGCGATTTTCTTCAAAATAAAGTAATGAATTAGAACTTCCTGCAAATGCTCTTTTTTGGCATGAAATTCGATGTTTTTAAGCATGAAATATCTATAATGTTAACACCTTCAGCAAATTTGACATATGAAGTTTTGGAAGCTTGCCCTTAATACAACAAAACAGCATACATATCAAATGGCATGTATATAAACATATGTGTAACTCCATCTATTGAAAAAATCCGCATTATTAACTGGTACACCTAGTAAACCAGTTATAAAAGGACAAAGACTGTGTGAACCCACTTATATAAGGTCCCCAAAATAGCCAAAGTCACAGAGACAGAAAGAATGGTGGTTGCCAGAGGGATAAGAGTGCAGAGGGGATGGGGAGTGACTGTTTAATGAGTATGGACTTTCAGTTTGGGAAGAGGAAAAGTTCTGGATATAGATGGTGGTGATGGTTACCCTACATTGTAATGGACTTAATACCACTGAACTGAACACTTAAAAATGGTTTAGCCTGGCCAGTGTGGCTCAGTGGTTGAGCATCGACCTATGAACCAGGAGGACATGGTTCGATTCCCAGTCAGGGCATATGCCCAAGCTGTGGGCTCAATCCCCAATGTGTGCAGGAGGCAGCCAATCAATAGTTTCTCTCTCACTGATGTTTCTATCTCTCTGAAATCAATAAAAATGTATTTTTAAAAATGGTTTAAATGATAAATATATTACATATATTTTACCGCAATAGAGACAACCAGACAGACCTTGTATGCATGGAAAAAGCTAGCTTCCTTACGTGATCAGTGGTGGACCCTGAGTTCATTTCTCCTCTGAGACTTGAGCTCGTAGTTGTTTACAGAGTCAGCTTCTTATGAGCAAGGTGCAGGCTTACTTCACGAGGATGAGGGGAGTCCTTTTTTTCCCCTTGACATATATCTCCATCTCAGAAGTCTTACCTACTTTACGCAAATGCCTTTACCGGGTGTAAAACACTTTTCCACAGACATCTGGAGGTGGGGGAGAGGTGGAATGTAGCCTTATCCTCAAGGACTCCAGTATATGGACGCTTGTTTTAAACTTGCTTTTTTTCATACAGATTTTTGTATTCTGGATCTCCTCCTCCCCCATCTATCCGAAGGTGTCTAAGAAAAAGAAAACGACAACAATAACAAAAACCAGGGCTGTAATTCTGGTTTGGTTGTACCAAAGTAGGTGTAGCCTCTTTGGAGGCCTAAATGAAAAATAGATGAAGGACCCAAAACATCTAAGAACGTTTGTTTCATGTTTTACTGAAGGCACTGCCCTCTGACCATCTGAGGTCCGTTATCCACGCTGATGCCTGGGCTGTTCTGAGGAAATGTAGTCAGGGCACCTGGATTGGGACATCACCCACAGGCATTCTTTTCGCCGTGTGGCGTTCTGTGCGATTGTGGCCGTGTTTACTTACGTGCCCTGTCTATTTTCCTTTCCAGGAATCATTAACCAATGGCAACAGGAATCCAAGGATAAAGTGATTTCCCTCCTGTTAACTCACCTGCCTTTGCTGAAGCCAGGAAACCTCGACGCAAAAGTAGAGTATATGAAACTGCTGCCCAAGATCCTGGCGCACTCAATCGAACACAACCAGCACATCGAGGAGAGCAGGCAGCTGCTGTCCTATGCGTTGATTCATCCGGCCACCTCGTTGGAAGACCGCAGCGCTTTAGCCATGTGGCTGAATCACTTGGAGGACCGCACGTCAACCAGCTTCAGTGGCCAGAGCCGAGGCCGCTCCGACTCTGTGGATTATGGGCAGACTCACTACTATCACCAAAGACAGAACTCCGACGACAAGCTCAATGGGTGGCAGAACTCTCGGGATTCTGGGATTTGCATCAACGCCTCCAACTGGCAGGACAAAAGTCTGGGGTGCGAGAACGGCCATGTGCCCCTCTACTCCTCCTCATCCGTCCCCACCACAATCAACACAATCGGAACCAGCACAAGTACAAGTAAGTCTCCTCTAAGCCCGTGAGCGCAGTCTGGTTTGGTGACTTGCTGTGTGCGGCATGCCTGCTGGGAATGTCTGCTCTGAGCACAGGTTACCCCGGGAGAGAAGGGCTGGTTGGAATTGGCTCTGGGAAGGGATCTTCGGACCCCATCTTTGTTTCGCTTTTGATTCTGGAAGGATAAAATGCTGGGCTGGTAAAAACGACTGATGGTCCAAATTTGGGTTACAAAATAGATTTAAAAAAAAATTTTTTTTTTTTTAAATAAGTGGTGAAAGAAGGAAACTTCCTGTTTCCACAAATAGAAATGCTTTCACCCACGTGTCTTTCACCCCGGGGTCTTTGGATTTGCCAAGATGCTGTTACGTGTGATTTTCCAAACCTCATTCTAACCCCTGGTTAACCAGACAGCCTCATGGGCTTTGTGCATTTTCCCTTTTTCTTTCTTTTTTTCTTTTTCTTTTTTAAAATTTCCCCCCTGAATGTTCCCTCCCTTGCATCTCCTGGTGTTCTCCCAGTTGTTGGGGGCACGTGTCCTCCTGGCCAGGGGAGCAGGTTTGCTAACTGAGAATGCTGCGCTGCGCTGTGCCTGGTGTGAATGCTGTGGTCTCTCTTGCTCAGTCTAACCCCTTAGGAGAGGTGGGTCGGGATCTGCTTTGCAGGGGCGGAGGGGTAGCAAAGGACAGCCTCCTACTCTTTTGACCATGAAAGCGAAGTGCCCTGCCCACAGCTGGGATGAGGGCCAGAGTCTTCTCAAAATGCCATTGGTGAGAGAGGGCGGTCATCAGATAGAACTCCTTGATGCTAGTTGGCATGGGGCTGTGAATACAGTCTCAGTGCTGAGATAACTTCCCCAGGGCAACGCTTCTGCGGTTAGGGCTCCGATGCCTGTGACCATGCGGGAACCCCCACCTAAAAGATAGGAGAGTATTAAGAATTGGCAGTGATGGCTTCTTGGCCTCTACCTCTATTTGGATCTTTTGGCTAATAGGCCTTTTAAAATGGCTTTCTCACATACAGAGGGGTGCTGAATTATAACTACATCAATTGAAACAGTACCTTAGTGAGGTAATCAAAGAAATAAGATACTGCATTGATGGTGCTACAACATGAGATTTTAAATTCTTCTTTCTACATTTGCATCGAGATACCAATAACTTGTACATTTGGAGAATTGGGTGATTATTGCATCATTAATTTATTATGTCAGATGTTCTGGTGACAGTCTTTCCCACAGACTGGTAATCCGGGGAATGATTTCACTACCCTCTGGAGATGACAAGAGCGATGCTTGGACTGTTAAGGCAGACAACGCAGGCTGGAGTAACAGGACTTCTTGGCCCAGGTCTCCTGGGTCTGAGACACAACCTAGAAATTGTTAGAAATTGTTACAGAACTCCTTGGTAGTGGGACAGCCACTTGTTCTCTCAAAACTTGGACTTTTGTATTGTAAGGGGTTGAGTTGACATCATTTGTCTTGACCTTAGTCTTGGGCCACCGCATTTCTGCTCCACTGATTTAAACATTCAAGGTTGGGTCTTGACAAGAGTAGTGCCTTTGAGATGGTACCAAATTGAAGTGAATGGATACTTCTATTTTTCACTGTGGCCACCCAGCCTCACGGAGAGGAGGAAGTGCAGAGATGGCTGTCACGACCTCCCGGATCTTTAGGTCCCTGAGTGGCACTTGAGCAAAAAAGGGCTTGAAGGCTTAACAAGATAACTAGATTACCTATCGCAGGAAGAAGAAAGGGGTTGGAGCCCTGTTCCCGAGCAAAGAAGATAAGAGCTCACATCTCTCCTCCATAAAGTTTCCTTCAAACGCGTAGGCCATGTAGACACTTGTATTTTAGTGATATCTCTTTAACAAAACATTAATTTTATTGCTTTTCCCCCCCTCCTCATTGTCCACAGAGGTTAAACTGTGTTAGTCAAAACGGCAAACCTTTGGGTCATTCATTCATTCATGCCTCTATCATATCTACCCTGAGCACTTGGGAGGCAGCTTGACAGAGTAGAAAGAACAAGGACTTTGGTGCAACGCCCTCCCGAGTTCAAATCTCAGACCTACAATTTCTTCACTACAAGCTGGCCAAGTTGCTTAACCTCTCTGAGCGAGGTCCCTAGCTGTAAAGTAGGATATTTACCTTTGAGGGCTGTAATGAGGGTAAATAAGATTATATATGTAGATGCCCAGCCCTGACCAGAGCTGGCAAACAGTAAGTGTCTACGAAGTGAATAAAAGGGTGAGATAGGAAAGACAGCAAGGAGCAGTCCAGCCGGCATGGCTCAGTGGTTGAGCATCGACCTATGAACCAGGAGGACACTGTTTGATTCCTGGCTGGGAACATGCCGGGTTTTGGGCTCTGTCCTCAGTACGGGGTGTGCAGGAGGCAGCCAGTCAATGATTCTCATCAATGATGTTTCTCTCTCTCACTCTTTCCTTCCTCTCTGGGGGAAAAAAAAAAAAGAGTGAGGAGCAAAATGCAAACACTGATACCAGAAACTGTGACCTCATTTGCATCTTCTGATGGTCATCTGATAAAAGCACCCTTCCTGAGCCCCAGCCGGCAAGCGTGGGCCTTGTGGCCATTTCACTGCAGTAGAAAAGGGCTCAGACTTAAGGCTTCGGGGGCCCTTCTGCTGCACTGAAGAGCTGCATTTTTCCCCTTTCAAGTCGGAAAAAATATCTGCACAAAACAACCTGATTATAAGAACTGAAATCAGTTACTGCTTCATATTCTCGAATTACCAGCCACATTAATGATGGTTAATGCAAAGAAACTAACCACTCCATTACACAAGTTTTTTAAATTTTTATTTTTAACCTTGGTTTACTGCACTAATATTTTATTCTTTTGATCATTATGCTCCAGCAAAATGCCTTATCATTTGTGGTCTCCCCTCTCTGTAAATTATGAATTCAACTACCCTATAAACACTTGTTTCATCCACAGATGCTTAGTGCTGTGTGTGAGTCCATGGGATATAAGGAAGTTTAAGGGAAGCATTTCCCCCTTCAGGGAGCCTATAATATAAACGGAGAAAGAAGACATATCAATCAGCCTCACAATTAAAAATTAATGTTCTCATTTCCCCAGACTTTTATCCACAGAAATTTTATATAACAATTCACGAGTTACATAAAAATGTAGTTTACAAAAACTTCTAAGAGCTGCCACAAGGCAGTATAGGGCTGTTTCAGCTGAGGGGGGTGTAGAGGGGAGAATCCATACTCTGAGGACTGTGAGTGTAGGGAGGAGAGAAGTCTTTTGAACTTGGGGGTCAGGAAAGCCTTGCAGAGGAAATGGGAAGTGCACTGGACTGAGATGGACATCTAGAGAGGAGGGGCGGGGAGGGCATCGAGGGTAGGAATATGGGTTGTGGCAGAGCAGTGGAGGTAATAGTGTGCAGGCAGGTTAGAGTGTGAGGAGGAAGCAGAGGTTCACGCAGGAAATGGCAGGGAGTAAAGACAAGAGTAGACCAAGGGAAGGAGCCTGAGAGCCCTAAAGTGACCAGGCATGACAACATGAGCATGGGGATGACATGAGCAATGTTGTAAGGGATACTGGTCTGTGGACAGACCAGATAGCAAGTGATAAGCACAGAGTCAGTGAGTTTCAAAGCCTCGGTAGTGAGGTAATAAAAGGAGCTTTAGCTGTGGAGCAGAGGAATGTTCCTAAGTGGAATGCTTAAGATTTAGTATTGACTTGGACACGCATCACTGATTCACTTATTTGTTTCTTCATTCACTTAGAGAGTGTTCATTGAACATCAGTATATGCCTCCCCTGATCAAGACACTAGGACTATGTTAGTGGACAAGACAAAGCTGTCCTTCCTCATGGACCTTGCAGACTAATGTATTAAATTATAGTGTGCTAGAGATTAAGTGACATGGAAATAAGAAAAAGGATCAGGAGGATCAGACCTACTTGGTGAAGTGGCATAGTGTAAATAGGGTGATCAGGGTAGACCTCATCGAGAAGGTGATGTGCGAGCAACGACTTGAAGGCAAAGTGTTTAGACAAGTGGTGTCTGAGGGAGGAGCAGTCCAGTCAGAGGAGAAGCTAGAGCAAACATCCCAAAACAGGGAGTGCCAACCTGTTTGGGGAAAAGCAAGAAGGCGGGTGGCTGAAAGGGAGTGTGTGAGTGAGATACACAGTGGTCGGGGTTACGGATGTAATGAGAGGGACAGATCCTACAGGGCATGTAGGTCATTGCCAGGATTTTATTTTATTTTTTTTCTCAATAAACCAGGAAGCTGTTGGATGATTTTTTGTGGATACGTGACATGATCTTACTCACATTTTAAAGGGGTCGCTTTGGCTGCTGTATTAAGAATAGATTATACTAGGGTAAGGTAAAAACACAAAGAACAGTTAAGAAGCTATTGTAGTAATCTGATGACTCAGACCAAGATAGCCACAGTAGAGTGGGGCAGGGGAGACAGGATCAGAGTCTAGCTATACTTTGGAAGCACAGCCAACAAGTTTTCCTGACAGAAGAAAAGAGGGGTGTGTGGGAGAGAATTCAAGAATGACTCCAGGGTTTTTGCTTATACAACTAGAAGGATGGCCTTGATATTAGTTGAGATAGGGGAGCCCCTATTTAAAGAATACATTTCAGGATAAGATTAGGAGTTCTAAGTCCTGTATGATGAGCTTACTTGCCTGCTAGACAATCAGAGGTACTTAGTAGGCAGTTGGATTTATGAGTGCATGGTCTGGGAGAGAAGACTGATCCAAGATAGACATTTGGGAGTTACTGGCACATTGGGTGGCATTTAAAGCTATGAAACTAATTGAAATTACCAACATAGTGATGTACATAGAGAAGAAGACAAAGGACCAACCCTGGCACTTCAACAGAAAGGCTGGAAACAGAGGAGGGAGCAGCAAAAAAAAAAACACTAAGGAGAAACCACTGAAGTTGGGGAAACGTCAAAAGTGTGTGTGTCTTCCAAGGCAAATGAAGAAAATGTTTCATGGAGGAAAGAGTGATC